CAGCACTTGGGGAGGCCAAGGCAGGTGGATCACCTGAGGTAAGGAGTTCGAGACCAACCTGGCCAACATGGTGAAACACCGTCTCTACTAAAAATACAACAACAACAACAACAACAATTAGCCAAGTATGGTGGCACGTGCCTGTAATGCCAGCTGCTCAGGAGGCTGAGGCAGGCGAGTCTCTTGAACCCCGGAGGCAGAGTTTACAGTGAGCTGAGATTGGGCCACTGCACTCTGCCCTGGGTGACAGCGCAAGGCTCCACCTCAAAAATAAAAGAGGAAGGAGAAGGAGGAGAAATCGCCCTCTAAAATATTTCACATTTAAGGATTTTGTTCAGAGAATAAGGATGAGAGTCTGGTTGCCTATTGTCTCGGCCTGTTTTGTGTTCAATTTTGGCTCAGTCCCAACCTCATGAATCTCTCCTTTTAATCGAAGAGGGTTAGGGTAGCCCAGGTGAGGTCAGGGGGGCTGTGGCCAGCACGGCAGGAGCCCTCTTCATTGCCTGAGGAACAGTTAGTGCTTGCACCCAGCAGTTAGAGACAGTCTGGTTCTGAATCCTGTCACTTTCTAACTAGGAAAGACATTTAAAGCTCAGCTTCATTTTAATCATCTATAAAATTGGGATTATAAATCTTGCCTTATAGTATCCCTGGGAGAATCAAATGGGATAATGCATATAACATGCTTAACCCAAGGCCTGGCGTGTAGGAAGCACTTAATAAATGCTTATTACTTAGGATCAGATGAGGCTTCCTCATCTCCTGTCCAGCTGGGCTAGAGGTTTAGTTAGGATTTGGTTTGCATACGAGGGAAGAATTCCAAAACTGTAATAATGCAGAAGAGATAGAAGTTTGGCCGGGTGCAGTGGCTCAAGCCTGTAATCCCAGCACTTTGGGAGGCCGAGACGGGCGGATCACGAGGTCAGGAGATCGAGACCATCCTGGCTAACACCGTGAAACCCCGTCTCTACTAAAAAATACAAAAACTAGCCAGGCAAGGCGGCGGGCGCCTGTAGTCCCAGCTACTTGGGAGGCTGAGGCAGGAGAATGGCGTGAACCCGGGAGGCGGAGCTTGCAGTGAGCTGAGATCCGGCCACTGCACTCCAGCCTGGGCGACAGAGTGAGACTCCGTCTCAAAAAAAAAAAAAAAAAAAAAAAAAAAAAAAAAAAGGGATAGAAGTTTATTTCTTCTCACATAAAATCTGAATGAGGGGTCAAAGGTGGAATGTGGTTCCTCAGTGTCTGCGATCCAAACACTATCTTGTTGCAATGTCATAAATGTCTTCACTTTATGATCCAAGAGGGCAGCATCCCAAGTTCCAGGCTGCAAGACGAAGTGCCCAAGGAGCCAAAGGAGATGCATGTAAGCTCCCCTTAACGAAGGTTCCTGGAACCAGTTGTACCACCATTTCTGCTTACATCCCATTGGCCAGAACCTAGTCACATGACTACCCCCTAGCTGCAAGGGAATCTGGGGAAATGTAGTCTTTATTATGGCAGCCATGTGCTCAGCTGAACATGGGTGGATCTATCCCTATAGAAGGGGAAAATGAGTATCAGGAACATGCAGCAATCTCTGCCCCCAGGTCCCAGCTTGTCTAGGCTAGCTAGGCACCTGGAAGCCACATACCTGAGCACTAGAAAGCAGGGAATGGGGGCATGTTGCTTCTCCTCAGCCACCCCCAGTGGCTCAGTCTGCAACTGAGAACATGGAACTGGAACTGAAACTTAGGCCTCTTGCCATGAGTCTGAGAAAACTCTGCCCTGTTTAACCACCTCCCTGATGCGTCCCAGCCTCAACACCAAAGGCAGGAGGGATACTAGGGAGGCAGCTCACTGCCCCCTCCTGGCCAAGGAGAGGACAGTGAGCAAAGCTGCAGCTCCGAGGGGCAGAGGGCACAGCAATCTAGCAGGTTTGGCACAGCCTGGTGGAGTTGCCCACTGCAGGACACACAACTACAAATTGTGTGGAGGCCAGGCCACCAGCCAGTGCCACAATCCAAGTGCTTAACTGGAAGGATACATCTGCACTAGGGTCTCCACCCTTCTTCATCCTGTTAATGAGAACACTCGAGCAGGCCATCTGGCCTTTGCCAGGCTCCCAGCACACCTGACTCCCCTCCCTCCTGGGCTTTCTTTTATCCCAAAAAGGTCTCTGAGAAGGGGAGGAAAACTTGCCTGCATCTCCCCACACTGGCACTTCTGAAACAAGCCCTCAGGCCCTTTCTGCTCCCAGAGTTTCAGTACTAGTAGCCACCAGGGGACAGGCAAAACCACAGCCACAGGTGCTCCAGCTCTCCCTCTCCCAGGCCTAGCCCCAGATGTGTCACTAACTCGGGATGCAGCATCCCCTGTTCTCTGACCGTCCTTTTCCTTGCTGTGCCTTGGAGTCACTTCTTAGATATAAGGTTCCTGGGCTCCACTCAGGACTTACTCGTTCTGTTTTTGAACCAGTTTCCCAGGAGATTCATGTGCAGTGCATTTAGGATCCAAGGGGCTGGATGACTTTTGCAGTCCAACTTAGAGTGATCTGGTTCTGACAGAGTCAGAGCTGTCTGAGCAGCGCCCCGTAGGATGGGGACACCTTTTGCCAGCCCTTTCTTCCCAGGGGCTGGCGTTCTTCAAACCTCCCCAAATTATTCACTTTCCTTTCAGATTCTGTCCTCCTGAGATGCTAAGCCATTCTCAGCCTGCTCTGTTGACTGTGAAATGTCCTGTCGGGTGCCCCACCTCCTGTTTCTATCTGTCAGAACCCTCTTCACTTGTCAAGTCTCAGATGAAACACAACCTCCTTTAGGGAGCATCTGCAACCTACCCAGTGAGAATTTCCTGCTCCCTTCCTGGGCTGCCATGAACTTTGCTCGTACATCCACTATAGCCCAGGCTGTCCTGAGTGACAGTGAGTTCTCCAGGTTGGTGCATCCTATCTGCTCCACCCCCTCACACCCTCAGCCCCACAGGACTGGGAACTCCTCGAGGCTGGGAATCAAATCTTACCATAGACATCCTGAGCCTGATGATAGATCACTCTTAACCCTGAATGCTTAAAGAGAAAACATAGGAAGCCAGGGCCTGGGTAGGACAAACTGAGTGCTAACAGAAAGAGTCCAGGCCGGGCGCGGTGGCTCACACCTGTAATGCTGGCATTTTGGGAGGCTGAGGTGGGTGGTTCACAAGATCAGGAGTTCAAGACCAGCCTGACCAAGATGGTGAAACTTCATCTCTACTAAAAACACAAAAAATTAGCCAGGCATGGTGGTGGGCACCTGTAATCCCAGCTACTTGGGAGGCTGAGGCAGAGAATTGCTTGAACCCAGGAGGTGGAGGTTGTGGTGAGCCGAGATTGCACCATTGCCCTCCAGCCTGGGCAACAAGAGCGAAACTCCATCTCAAATAAATAAATAAATAAATAGTCCAAACACAGGTAGCCAGGGCAGGAAGAACTGGTCCATTCCCCTCCCCTAAGCTGAATGAATGAATGGGCTGATTCCCCAGATGATTTTGAGGGTTTGTATTCCAGAAAAAAGAAAAACAGAAAACCCCTTCTTTGTCTGGGACAGAGTCTTGTCTAGGCTTTTAGGCTTAAGGCCTTCTGGCTAATCATTTCTTAATCCACTCAGGAAATCTCCAGGGATTTCCCGTGAGGCGGTGTTGCAGGGTTGTGGAGTCTGTTCTGCATTTAGCAGTCAGGAAGGGGCCCTGCAGAAGGCCTTAGCCTCCTCTGCCCTAGGCCTCTAGGATGAGCCGGAAAGTGGGCTCTGGGTGCTGTGGTTCAACCTTGAATGTGTCCCCATTTCTGTCTGTGCCTCTAGAACACCCTTGGGCTACAGTGTCTGCATTTCTCAGAAAGGCTGGGGTGGGGACGGGAAAGGATTTTTTAGGCTGTGACTGCACCAGCCGGGGCACCTACTGTGTCCCCCCGCTGTGCCAGGCGTTGTGCTGGAGAACTTACCCACTCGCCTGTCTACACGACAACTCTGCAAGGTACAGATGGTTATCCCCACCATAGACATAAAGAAACCGAGGCTTGCAATGCTTGCCGGCTGCAGCCCTAGTGTTAGTGTTAGTGACCCTCCCCACCCCGCCCCAAAAAAAGAAACTAAGGCTCAGAGAAAGTAGCTAACTTGGCAGCATTATGCAACCAGGAAGTTGCAGAGCAGGATCAAAGTTAGGTGCGTCTGGCTCCAAAACTTCTGTTCTTTCTACCTGACCTCACCCAGACAGTTGCCAGCAAGGCCTGTTTCTGTCCCATCCCTCTGGCTGCAGGGTCTCTGAGGTCCCTTTCTTCTCTAACAGGGCATCGCCTGTGGGGTGTCTTTCCCGGGGACCACCTAGGTACAATCCACACAGGCAAGGAGAGGACCAGCAGGCACTAAAGCCAGACACACAGCTCTGTCACTAACCCCCAGTGACCAGAGCCCCACTGTCACTAAGCACACAGCAGCAGGAGGCGTCTGCCAGCTGCAAGGCCCGGGGAGGCTGGGAAGGGGAGGGAATTGGAGGGCCTCAGGGGGTGAGGGGAGGAGAAGCACAGACCCTCCAGATGTGCCCCATCTTTCTCTGCTGCAGAACACCAAGAGTCTATCTATCTCTTTTTAATGCTCTGCTGTTTTCTTTTGTTGTACACTTAACCACACGGAAAATAAGCCCTAAGGCTGAAAACTCCGATTTGTCGTGAGGCCGGCAGTGCTGTGCGTTTTTCACATTTGGGTGCCGCCTGAGCCTCTTGTCTGGTTCCGCCCTCAGCCTCCACACCACGTGCCCAGTCCCACATATCCAGAGCCCCCCGCCTGGTTACTCTCCAAGCAGTCCCAGCACTCTTTGCTTGGCAGCCTCAGGTTGTTGGCGTCTGGGTTTCCAGGGGCCCTCATAGTTTATTATTCCTTTGACAAAGTCATGGGACTCCGTAAGTAAGCAGAGATCCCTGCCCATGCACGCCGCTCGCATCAGCTGTCCGTGAGGGGCTCCTAGGCTGTGCGGGGAAGAAGACAGACTGTGTGTAGATTGAAAACGACTATTTGTATTTACATGTGACAGAATCGAGCCTCTCATTTCCTGGCCCAAGTCATGGCCACGGTTCCCCTGGGTCACCCTGGGCTAGACTGTGAGCTCTGAGAGGGCAGTCGGCTGCCTGCTGTTGGACGCCCGTGCCTAGACAGGGCCTGGTACAGAGATGCAAGTAATAAAGGGGCAGAGGGAGAGGTAGCAGCTGCTGTCCAACATAGGGCCACACCTCAGAATGTGACACTAATCTGGCACTGGGACCAACGGCAGCTCCTCCGCCCTGCCCATCACAGCCCCGGGAGTCCCACTGTACCTCCATTGGAACGACAGCCTGTCAGTCCCGCCGGCCTGCAGGGAAGAGTCTGATGCCCCTCGTGATGCCCCCGAGCTCTCCCCACTCCCTAGTGGCCTGCTGTTCTTGGTCCCCCTTCCTGAGGGTGCCCCGAGCCTCCATAAAGCACAGGTTTCTCAGCCCGCGCCACGCCCCCTCTCTGTTTCTTACGGCAGGTCCCACGCCGCTTTGTCCACCTCTGGTCGGACACTGTGACCCAAAACCTTTGTCCAGAACACAACGTAGGCAGGAGAAAAAGAGGCTGCAGCAGAGTAAATGACCTAGTCACAGAACACGTGGCCAGATGGCCCCGCAGAGTACTCACTGGCTGAGCGTGGCCGGAGGGTGGTGGCCGGTACAGCAGTGTACCCAGTGCAGCCCACCACACCCACTCTTGTCTGGCAGCAGAGCTGGGCGGCACTCCCAGGCCCCAGGAACCCGGGCACTTCCTCCTGACACTGGGGTGGCTACAGCTGAAGCTGAGAAGAGCAGCCCTGCCTGCCGCCATTTCTGAAGGAGCCCAGTGTGGTTACTCAGTGCGCTGTAATTAAACTCATCTGTAATTTGATAAGTGGGAGTAGCCTCACATTTTATAGAGTAATTAAGTCTCACCAAAGGAGCAGCACGTGGCGCTTCTGGGACCCAGCGTCTCCTGAGGTTGGCCCCATTCACTCTTCCCGTCTACACATCTCCACAGCTGCTGAGGCCAGGGTGGGCCGCAGCCACAGCCCCGGAAATGCTTCGCACCCCTGCTCTCTCCACTCTCAGGCCTTCCATCGACGTCCAGGCCCCTGGGAGACGGCACAGACACTGCAGACGCACGTGCAACAAGACAGGGAAGCCTGGGCCTCCCTTTCCAGGCTGTTATGCAAAACTGTGGACTAGGAGGAAGCTGGCGGTACTCCTCCCCACCTGCCGGCCGCTCCTTCACCACACACAGGGCCAGGTTCTGACTGTGCTCAGTCCGGCCCAGCTCTGGGCCCCAATGTGAGACTGAGGCAGCCTGAGGGTAAAGGAAGGGGCTGCGGGTATAGAAGTCAGATGGGGCCAGGCGCAGTGGCTCATGCCTGTAATCCCAGCACTCTGAGAGGTCGAGGCGGCTGGATCACCTGAGATCAGGAGTCGAGACCAGCCTGGCCAACATGAAGAAATCCCATCTCTACTAAAAATACAAAAAAAAAAAAAAAAATTAGCCAGTCATGGTGGTGCACACCTGTGATCCCAGCTACTCGAGCGGCTGAGGCAGGAGAATCATTTGAACTTGGGAGGCAGAGGTTGCAGTGAGCTGAGATCGCACCACTGCGCTCCAGCCTGAGTGACAGATCAAGACTCTATCTCAAAAAAAAAAAAAAAAGAGAGAGAAGCCAGATGGCCGGGGTCTGGATCTTGTGGGGTCTGGATCTTGCAGGGTCTGAATCTTGGCTCCCTCGTTTCCTGGCTCTGTGATTTTGGGCAAATTGCTTCACCTCCCTGAGGCTCAGTTTCTTTATTTGTAAAATGCAGACAACAGTACTGCCTTACATATAAGCTGTTTATGAGGACCAGGTGAGAGATTTGCCGTGAACTCACTTGGGTAGTTGGGAGGGGCACGTGCATGTGAGGAGCGTCAGCATCTCACCAAAGGTAATAAACCTGTTTCAAAGCGCTTGGCTGCTTGAGGAGGACTCTAATGACCATTCAGCCCGGTGTGTGTCATCAAGAATGAGGGATTAGATAACCACAGCTGAAACCTTCTGTTCTGATAGCGAGGAGATGGAAATCTTGTCAAATGGGAGACCTGCGCTCTTAAACCTGACTTGGCCTTTCCAAATATCTGGAAGTCTATATCAGAAGGGTTAAATTATTCTGTGCAGGTCTGGGTCATAACCAGGTGCCAAAAACGTTAAGTGAGGTGGTAGATTTCAGCTCAGTCTTCGGATAAATGTTTCTGAACCAAGGAAATGGCCTCAGGAAGTAATGCACTCCCTGTCACTGGAGGGCTTCAAGCCCTGGCTAGCAGGTGCCTCATGCGGGAGCCTGGGAGTCAGGCACGATGATGGCTGAGTGGCCTTTCTCCCCTGGGGTTGTGGGGGTCCTGGCAGCCTGTCCCAGCCCTGGCCCCTTGCCCAACAGCTGCCCACCCTGTGCCTCTGAACGCGCCACTCACAGGTCACCCTTCCTTAGTGCCCGCAAACACCACAGAGACCTCATGCTGTGGGATTGTTTCATCTCCCCCAGAGCACCAGAGCCCTCAGCCCTCTTGCTCTGTCTCTTTGAGCAGAAATCATCACTCACTTCTCAAGCGCTGCGCTCATATAACCTTCGAGCCCTCTGAGGGCAGCTCCAGAATCCGGCTCTGCCTGCTTGGTCTCTGCATTTCTAGAGCCTGCCCTCGGCCTTGACGGAGCAGACTTCCCGCCGGAAAGATACTGGGGCTCCTCCAGCACATTCTCTTGCAGGGGGCAGTGCTCAGAGCCCAAAAAGGAAGGGAAGGAGGGGCTGGCTCTAGTGGCAGGACCCTGTGGCTGCCGCTGTGCGTAGGCTGAGAGTCTCCTCGCTGTTACGTAACTGAGGTCTTTTTCCCTCCCTATTTTAGATCCTGGTGCCATCTGCCCTGATTTTCCACGTCACCAGCTCTGGGCTGGAGGTTAGATCTGGCTTGACACCCAGCTCTCCCCGTTACTTGGTGACAGACTTGGGGAAGCCTGTTTCCGTAAAATAAGATAACCCCACCCTGCCCACCTGCCAGGGTTGCTGTGAGAATCAGGTGAGAGGCAGCAGCAGTGCTGGGTAGCAGGACCTGCACTGGGTACCCGTGCCTGGCTGCTGTCTGACCAACCCTGCCTGGGGCTGCCTGAGCCGGGGGAGCCTCTGCTCACTCATGTCGGCTCCTGTATCAAAACGGTTCGCACAGGTTTGCAGAGCCAGGCCTTGTTCGAAATACAGGCAGTGAACAGACCTCACAAGTGGGGAGTCTTTGTCAGACCTCCTGTCATGGGTGGCAAGGGGGCAGCCCTAGCAGCTTGTGACAGGCGGGGCCAGCCACCTGTGTGGGGACAGCCTGTGTGGCTGTCACCTGCTCACACAGCCTCTTGGCCCCAGGTGGAATGCTAGGCACAGCAGGTGCTCTGTAACAACAAGACATTGTCAGGAGCCTCTCACAAAAAGCCCTTGCCCAGCCTCCAACCATCAAGGGAAGGGTTTGTGCTGGCTGGAGTCACCAGACCATGGTCCACACAGGCAAAGGCCTCCTGCCTACTCCTTACTCTGACGAGAAGGAGCGGCTCTCTGCCAGCAGACAAACAGTGAGGGTCTAGGTGCCTGGCGACCCCAACTGGCTTTGCTTCCAGGGCTGCTGCGAGCCACAGTGTAATGTGATAGTGAAGAGTGCTACTCAGGAGACTTTTGTTCTGCCCTGGATTTACTGTGACACTGAGTGAGTCACTTCCCCTCTTTGGGCCTCAGTTATGTCATCTATAAAATGGGAATATGCACCTCTGTTTTGTCCTCCTATCTTTTTTTTCTTTTCTTTTTTTTTTTTTTTTGAGACAGTCTCACTCTGTCGCCCAGGCTGGAGTGCAGTGGCATGATCTTGGCTCACTGCAACCTCCACCTCCCGGTTCAGTCGATTCTCCTGCCTCAGCCTCCCGAGTAGCTGGGATTACAGGCGCCCACCACCACACCTGGCTAATTGTTGTACTTTTAGTAGAGACAGGGTTTCATCATGTTGGCCAGCCTGGTCTTGAACTCCTGCCCTCAGGCGATCCACTCGCCTCAGCCTCCCAAAGTGCTGGGATTACGGGCGTGAGCCACCGCGCCCGGCCACCCACTCTGGTAAAGATGAAAACTAGGTCCTGTGCCCCAGCAGGTTCTAAGCTGCCAGAAAGCGAATGGTAAATATGAGGTTTGAGTTAGCACTGCAGTTATTTGGAAGGATAGTAGTCTGGGCTTTTCAATCTCTGGAAATGATTAAAAACCAGAACAGCCTATATAGGCTGGCTCAGCAGTTCTGGCTTACTCAGAAGATTCCAATAGACACATATGCATATGCAGCTTCTCTGACGTTCGGGTCTGTTGATCTGGACCCAGAGTATGTGGCCCCCCTTCCTCTAGTTCCCAGGCAGGGATGCACACGTGCAACTCCAAGGCTCCATCTGTTTTCCTTCAATCAACTTCAGCACGGAAACAAATTCGCCCAACATGTAAAAATGCAATTCCGAAAGGGTCCTGCTAGAACAAGGTCCACGGTACAAAAGCATCCCATTGTTATGTAAACGCAACGGCCACCAAGCGTCCCCCTCCGGGCTCTGGATCCCTGCCTGCCTCCCCTCCCTCCTCCTAGGGGAGCTGGGACAGGGGACCCCTGTCTGAAGACAGCGGGGACAAAGGCCCAAGAGGCAAGCTGAATTTGTCCATTGTGTGAGAGCCTGAACCCCACAGCCCACTCCAGCTGCCCGGGTTCTTCTGCCTTCTCCTGGCACCAGACTCCAGGTTCGGGCCAGGCAGCTGCTGGAAGAGCGAGAACACTGTTTCTAAAGGGGTGCTGCTTGCTTCTTTGTTCCCAGTTTCCGAGGTGAGAATCCCGAACGCCGTGAGAAACCTCAGGCTCGGGGGGCCGCTCGGGAGTCTGGGGCGTTGGAGGCCGGCGCCGGCTTCGGAGGACGCGGGCGCCCTCTACCGGCAGGCCCAGCCCGCCCGGGGAGAGGCGGAAATGTCAGTCATGGTCGGATTTGTAAGGCTGGCGCTTGGGACCCTGCCCTAGGCCTAAAGCCACCTGGAGGACAGCGGTGTTTGGTTTTGGTCCAAACATACAGGCCCTGGGCAGTTGCAGGGATGGCAGCTTTCAAACTCAAACCCCAGAAGTGATCATGCAGACTCTGCCTAAAGTGGCATCACTTCTTAATTGAAAATAAGGCCGAGGCGGGAATGAAGGCCAGGCTGAAGCCCTGCAGACCTGTGTGTGTGTGTGTGTGTGTGTGTGTGTGTACGCGCGCATATGTGTAAGCGCCGTGTGTGTGTGTGCGCATGCGCGCATATGTGTAAGCGCCGTTGTGTGTGTGTGCACGCGCGCATGTGCAAGCGCCGTGTGTGTGTGCGCATGCGCGCATATGTGTAAGCGCCGTGTGTGTGCACGCGCGCATGTGTAAGCGCCGTGTGTGTGTGTGTACGCGCGCATATGTGTAAGCGCCGTGTGTGTGTGTACGCGCGCATATGTGTAAGCGCCGTGTGTGTGTGTGCACGCGCGCATATGTGTAAGCGCCGTGTGTGTGTGTGCACGCGCGCATGTGTAAGCGCCGTGTGTGTGTGTGTGTGTGTGTGTAGGCCAGGCTGAAGCCCTGCAGACCAGTGTGTGTGTGTGTGTGTACCGGCGCATGTGTAAGCACTGTGTGTGCACGCGCGCATATGTGTAAGCACCGTGTGTGTGTGTGTGTGTGTGTGTAGGCCAGGCTGAAGCCCTGCAGACCAGTGTGTGTGTGTGTGTGTACGCACGCATATGTGTAAGCACCGTGTGTGTGCACGCACACGCCCACGCATGTGTAAGCACCATGTGAGGCAAGCAGGGACCCCAAATCCACTGCTAGGGGAGAAGATGCCACAGTGCCCTGCCATGGCACCACTGCTCCTGCCAAGCCTGCCCCATTGACACTGGCCCCAGCCAAGGCAAAACCAAGCAGACCCAAACCAGTAACAACCTATCCTGTCAGCCAGAGAGCACCTCCACACAAGTCTATCCTGAGTCCTAAAAGAGGATGTTAAAATCTCAAGTAAAAATCTCCAGGGCCAGAAGTGGTGGCTCACACCTGTAATCCCAGCACTTTGGGAGGCCAAGGCAGGCGGATCACTTGAAGTCAGGAGTTCGACACCAGCCTACCCAACATGGTGAAACCCCGTTTCTACTAAATATATAAAAATTAGCCAGGTGTGGTGGTGGGTGCCTATAACCACAGCTACTCGGGAGGCTGAGGCAGGAGAATTGCTTGAACTAGGGAGGCGGAGGCTGCAGTGAGCCGAGATGGTGCCATTGCACTCCAGCCTGGGAGACTAAGCAAGAGTCTGAAAATAATAATAATAATAATAATAAACAAATAAAAAATCTCCATAAACATTCCCACCCCCTCCATACAGCCAGCTCTGAGTCACTGGCTGCTGGCTGGCCAGTCACACAGCACCATGGACATGCAGAGGTACCAGTGGGCACTTGGTATGTGTGGCTCAGATGAGGACACAGAGTTAGTCAGAAGATTCTTGGGCAAATGTATCCAAAACAGTCCTGGAATGCAAAATGTGAAGTGTTTCCACAGCAGTGGCAGGAACACATGACTGGCACTATTTATAAGCGATAAAAGGGTTATTTCATGCATCCTCTTTAAGCTGCAAATGCTTCATGTACAAAAGAAAAAAATCTGTCCTTTTTATTCATGAGACTGGCTTAAGGATCAAATGAGATAGTTTTTTAAAGTGATAATTTGGCTTGAAGATATGAAGGAGTTTTGATTCCATTCTATAATAAATCTGTTTTTAATATAAAGATCTTTTCTCAAAATCGCTGTATGAAATGATCTCCAGAGAGACAAATTCACCGTGTTTGCCCTGAGATTGAGAGGCCCCTGCCTGCCACTCCACACCCTGCTTGTGGAGGCCCAAGTCACTCACTATGCAAACAAGTCAGGTTGGGTTATTCCCTTTGGTTAATGTTAAAACCAGTCATGGGTCTTCCTGGAATGGTGGATAATCCACACGTGGATAATCAAGAGTTGACTATATGGGTTCCTCCCTCCCCTCCCCTTCCACCAGGGATCCCCGACAGAGGCCACAGAGAGACCCTTCAGCGGATGTAGATCATGTCAGAGATGGCTCCAGGCAAGTGGGTAATGATCTGCATTCGCAGCCACCAGTAGTAGTCCATGGGGTGGTAGCGGGTGTAGGGGGTGGTGGCGGTCAGGGCGTGTGTGACAGCATCGATGACAGGGGACGTGTCTGTGGAGCCACTGCTGCAGTAGGTCTCCATCTTGGCGATCTTTTCATCAAAGTACTTCTTGCCGTAGTCCTTGCGCACGACCTCAGGCAGCTCGTCCCACATCTTCTTGGCGATGGCCTGAATGCTCTCGGGGCTGTAGAGGCTGGTGGCAGCGATGAAGTTGCCGGGCTCCACCACACTGACCTTCACGCCCAGGGAGTGCATCTCATAGCGCAGGCAGTCTGAGAAAGCCTCTACCCCAAACTTGGTGATGCAGTAGGGCGAGCGGGCCGGGTTGGCCATGCGGCCCAGCATGCTGCTGATATTGACCACGCGGCCTACAGAGGGTGACAGAGATACCTGCTAAGGCGGCACTGCCCTATGACATGGAGGGCAGAAGTCAGGCGTGTCTCCAGAGGCTTGGCTGGAACCACTTCTGACCCACCCAGGAGCCTTCTCATTCAGGAGGCAAGCCCAGCTCAGACCCACGCATCAGCATCGGCACCTCTGATCTTCCCTGGGAACCTGGCTGTGCCAGGCCGGACAGGGGAGGACAAGTGAGTGAGAAGCAGGAGGGCACAGTGTGATGGGCAACACATAACTGTGTACCAGGAGGGCACAGTGTGATGGGCAACACACAACTGACTCAAAAACCAGATCAAGCCCGATGCGGTGATAATTTGGGTTGAAAACACAAGGGGAGAAGTGGGAAGCCAGACAGCTGTCTGTGTGGATCTGAGCTTTCACTATAGGCAAGGTCTGGTGCTAGTTAGGGAGAAACACAGCCTAAAAGCTTCCCCTTCCCCTTATGGAGCTTCAAATCCAGCTCCAGTAGTATGATGTGCCAAGTGTCTATCCACTGATCACAACACTGGCGATGGGGGTTGGAGCGCAGAGGAGGAAGTACCTGGGGCTGCAGCTGGGAGGGAGCCCTCAGATGGCCCTGAAAGAGGACAGGGCCTGTGCTGTTAGAATCAACTCCCAACTCTATTCCACCCAGGTAGGGTGGAGCCTGGGTGGAGCCCAGGACAGCCTGGAAAACAGAGCAGCAGGCGGGGGCAGGGGCAGGGTTTCTGAACCTGACTTCAGGGCTAGGACATGAGGAGAGAGTCCTGGGCATTGGGAGAGTGTGGTGACCCCCCTACTCCTCTTCCTCCAAAGGCCCTCAGCCACAGGCCCAACCTGGGGACATCAGGGGCCTCCTGCAGCTCCTCTTGGCCCTGGGAACAGAGGGGTTGGAAGTGGATTGCATTTGGCCCAGCCGGGGAAGCCCAGGCGGATCTGGGACCAGTTTTCCCTATAGGTGTGTACCCGGGAAGGAACTCGGCCCATCCAGGTGTGTACCCGGGAAGGAACTCAGTCCATCTAGGTGTGTACCCGGGAAGGAACTCAGCCCATCTAGGTGTGTACCCGGGAAGGAACTCAGCCCATCTAGGTGTGTACCCGGGAAGGAACTCGGCCCATCCAGGTGTGTACCGGGAAGGAACTCAGCCCATCTAGGTGTGTACCCGGGAAGGAACTCGGCCCATCCTGGGTGGAGGCACCTT